ATGTGGTACACATGCATACACTAAACCACACGCACACACACACACACACAAATAAATAATTTTTTTCACAATTATAGAAAAGAAAATAGAGCTTCAAACTAAAAGTTTTTTTTTCCCACCCTGTTACTCTACCAAATACTTTAAGGAGTCTGGTGGATTCTTTCCATGTCATTTAAACATACCAACATTTGTATGTAAATGTGTTGCCATTGAGTTGTGAAGATTTTATAAAAATGGGTTCCTATGAAATGGGTTGTTTTTTTCATTTATATTTCTTGAAAATATTTTAAGTCATATAGTACCAATAAATTTCTGATATTCTTCATAAATACACATTGATATTAAACAGATAGGCCTTGTGTAAAGTCCCCATCCAAGACTATTTGGTATAATACAGCATACACTTTATACAGGTGTTCCAGGCATCAGCTGAGGGCTCAGGAACTGTGGGAGGCCTTGGAGACCAGAGAGAATTATCCATAATGCATAATAAGTATTTTAATCTCAACATGGACTAGATAGGCAAATCACTAAGAAATGTTCACATTCTTCCACTTTAAGTCTTGGGAATTCAGTGTACATTTTCCATTTGTTACACATAAAAGCACCTAGTGAAGCCTTGTGTAGGCTCCTAAGGTATGGCATGCTACTAGTGACCACTTATGAGATAAGAGTTATTTTGTAATGACAGTAACCGGACTAGGGATTTGTTGTTATAGACAACACATTTAAGCTGGAGACTGAAAGACATAAGGCAGCTTTTCAAATCATCAGAGAGAAGTGTTCTGAGAAAGGGAACAGCCATGGAATAGGTACCTGGACCTAGAAGCAGACAGGAAGGCAGTGTGAGTGAAACATATAATATTTGTTATAATCCAGGCTGTGGATAGATCTCAGTTTTAGAGGACTTTCCAGATATGCATGAAGCCCTGGATTGGATCTTCAGAACAACAGAAACCTAGGGAGGCTGCACACACCTGTGATCCAGCAGCAATGGAGGAAGAGTGATCAGTTCACAATTGTCTTTGACTACAAGGGAATTTCAGGCCAGCCTGAATTACATAGCGAGAACCTGTTTCAAAACAAAACAAGAAACACAAAAATACAACACCCAACTTAAAACTCAAATGATTGTCGTAACTCCATTTAGTTATGCCTATGTTATTAAATCCCTATGATCCATCTGTTTTCCCCCTAGTAGGTGTGGGGGCAGCATCTTACACCACGTAGATGGTAATGGGCCAGAAGTTTTAGCCCCAAATAGATCTGTGCCCTTGTTCTCAGTATCTTAAGAAGATCATTCATCATTGGTTGGTTTTTAGTTTATTTGCTTATTTGGTTTTTAGGAGTAAGGACACCCTCAAAATTCATAATTGCTTCTAGAAACACTTGCTTGAACAACATTTTGCTCTCTAATTGCTAGGTGGGGAACTAGTCGTACACAGTGGACTGGATGTATTCTTTCTTCTGTTCCATTCTGAGTATGGGCTGCTAGTAAACATATTAGAAAGATGTTAGTTGAAGGGCAGACCAATGGGTACAATAAGAGCAGGTGTCCCTTCTGCTCTTGCTCCAGGGACTCCTGGTTTCTACAGTTGATTCTTCTTTCTGGAGCAGTTTATTCACCTGCAAATTGAGAGGGTTGGTCCAGGTGTTAAAGTCCCTTCACTCCCCAGCCATCTCCAAAGCAGCATGGTCCCCAGGCCTAGAGTCACACCTCAAGTGAAGATCTTTGCTGCAGCTTGGGAAACAGCCCAGGGCCACATTAGCAATGCTCCCACCCACTGATGTCCTCCTCTAGTCTGTTTGTATCAGTGAGTAGATGCTATCTAGTAGGTGGATTGGGGAACTGGAGAGACTCAATTTGCACACAGAAGAGGTAAAAGTGTGGCCAGGAGATAAGGATGGAGTTGTAAGAGAGACTCCTCTTTATCCATAAATAGTTCTGGAAGCATCCCTCAGCAGCAGAGGACTGGAAGAAGCAACTGTGACAAGAAGTTTCCACTCTCTCTTAAGTAACAGGTAAGCTGGGTCTTCTGCAGACTCATGCTGGAGAGAAGCAATCAGGATAGTGCTCCATGGAGTTTCTGTACCATGTGGAAGTACATATGGGATGATGTGGGATTGTGTGCGGGACATTAGAATAATGGGGCGGGGGGAGGCACAGGGGAGTCTCTAGACATTAGGGCAACTTAGCATCCAATACAGTTCTTTGGATTCTTGGCAAGTGGGTCCTCATTTAAATGGAATGATGGACTTTCATAGATGAGCTATTAAAGCCTTCTTAAGCAAAGTTAACATGAGAAATGAGAAAAAAGCTGTAGAAAAGAGTTTCTTACTCTTGGATTAAGCCCCAATTATTTGGGCCAGTGTCTATAAGTAATATGTAATAATATACAATAATAAGGAAATGAGGTCAGAGAGATGAGGGCATAGATATGTTTGCTGTGATGTTCATTGACTTTATGTTGGTTTGCAAATTAGGGAATTTTGTAAGAAATGTCTTGTATTCAGAGTGAAGAACATCAATTGGCTGTAGGCACTTGAGGTTTTGTTTTACAAGGTGAGGTAGCCAAGGGCAGAAGTAACTAAATTTTGCTTTATTTGGTGTGTTGGAGGGAAAGGGAGTGGTCAGTTCAGGAAGATAAGCAGCTTTGAGAAAGTCCATGTAAGCCAGATAGCCCGAGCTAAAGTTGCATCGTACCTGGTCCAAACCTGCCACAAAGGCTCCCTTAGCTTGCTCTATGCTTTCTTGTCGTTTTTCCCTCTGTTTGTGTTTACCACCCAGGATAAGAGTGTATTCTATATTTTCTATATTTTATAAACAAGTCTCTATTTCTTAGATAGATGTAAGCTACATGAGACCAGAGGTCTTTGGTTCACTGATGGTCTAGATTCATAGAATCAGATGTATTCCCCTGAAGACAGGAAACAAATGTATGAAGTGATTAAAATTTTAATATTATGTTTGTATTTAGTACAGTAATTTGGATACCTTGTAATTTTATAAATATATGATTTTATGTGGTACATATGCACAATGGAGTACTACTCAGCAGAGAAAAACAATGACATCATGAGGTTTGCAGGCAAATGGATGGATCTAGAAAAAATCATCCTGAGTGAGGTAACACAGACTCAGAAAGACAAACATGGTATGTACTCACTCATAGGTGGATACTAGATGTAAAAGGATGACTAGACTGCTACTCACAACTACAGGGAGGCTACCTAGTAAAGAGGATCCTAAGAAAGACACAGGGATCGCCCAACGTCAGAGAAATGGATGAGATCTACACATGCAAACTGGACATGAGTGGGGGTAATGAGGGGCAAGGGTCAAGGGAAAGAGAGCTTAGGGGAGTGGGAGATCCCAGCTGGATCAAGAACAGAGAGGGAGAACAAGGAAAAAGAGACCATGATAAATGAAGACCCCATGAGAATAGGAAGAAGCAAAGTGCTAGAGAGGTCCCCAGAAATCCACAGAGATACCTCCACAATAGACTACTGGCAATGGTCGAGAGAAAGCCCGAACTGACCTACTCTGGTGATCGGATGGCCAAACTCCCTAACTGTTATGGTAGAACTCTCATCCAATGACTGATGGAAGCGGATGCAGAGATCCATGGCCAGGCCCCAGGTGGAGCTCCAGGAGTCCAGTTGGCGAGAAAGAGGAGGGACTGTATGAGCAAGAATTGTTGAGACCATGACTGGAATAAACATAGGGACAAATAGCCAAACTAGTGGAAACACATGAACTATGAACCAATAGCTGAGGAGCCCCCAACTGGATCAGGCCCTCTGGATAAGTGAGACAGTTGATTAGCTTGAACTGTTTGGGAGGCCCCCAGGCAGTGGGACCAGGACCTGTCCTTAGTGCATGAACTGGCTGTTTGGAGCCTGGGGCCTATGCAGGGACACTTTGCTCAGCCTGGGTGAAAGGAGGAGGGGACTGGACCTGACTCAATTGAATCTACCAGGCTGAGCTGAATCCCCAGGGGAGACCTTGCCCTGGAGGATATGGGAAGGGGGCGTGGGCTGCGGGGGAGGAGGGAAGACAGGGGAATCCGTGGCTGATATGTAAAATTAAACTAAATTATAATATATATAATAAGCATATTACCATTTTTAATATTTAGATTTACTGTTTTAATTTTGTATATCTCTGTGTGATTATGTTTGGTGATGTTGTGTTGGGCCAATGGTGTCTGAGGAACTTTTGGGTCTTCTGCATCTCCAGGGATAGTGGTTGTGAACCTCCTCTATCAGTTTTTTGTTTTGTTTTGCTTTGTTTTTTTTTTTTTTTTGTGGTAAGAGCAGTGGACACTCTTAACCATGAGCCATTGCAGCAGCTTAATATTAGTGTTTTAGTGAGAGTAGTATTTGTTCATACTCCCTCAGCCCCAGTCTATTAGTGGTCACAATGGAACTAAAATGAAAAACTTCAAAACCGTTCGTTGTCTGTATGGGACAATGTGTGTAGACACAACACTTCCGTTCTTCTTTGTCCGTGGATACTAGTAATGGACTTGATTGGGGCTTAGAGACCAACCACTGTGGCTGCTGAGCAGGAACAGCTCTGAGTCCACCAGAGGGCAAGTGCACCGCCATTGGAAGACTGGTCCTTGCTTAGGGTTCTCTCAAGGGAGGTAACACACTCTTATCTCTGCCTTCAAGTTTTCTGTCTGCCAGCTTTTTGTGCCAAGACCAGTGGTGATATGATGGCTATATGTGGGGAAGGACTGGGAAGAAGAGGCTATTTGGGGGGACAGCTTTCCTTGTCCATGGGAAGTCACAGAGTTCGTTCTCCACTATGGGGAATTTTCAGAGCCCTAAATGAATCTTTTGGTTATGGGTTTCTCTCATTGCCAGCAGAGCAGGCCCACATAATTCACCCCACCAGGGTACAGAGACAAGTTGCCTCCTGAGAATTAAGACCTGTCCAGATTCCATGATGTGAGGGCCACAACCAACCATAGTGTCTTCTCATTGTCCTTTAGGACACCACGATGCATCCTCAAGCCCTCATTTCAGGCCTCATACTCCTTCTCCCAGGTAAGTGAGAGGTGAGCTGGGGGATGGCTAGGACGACAGAGGTTCAGAAGAGAACTACGTACCCTGCGTATTACAGCAAAGAACCAGGATGAAATTTTAGCCCCAAAGAAATTTCTTAACCTATCCAAATTAAAAATAAGACCCACAAGATTGTTGGGTAAGTGGCGAATATATGTACATGCATGTTATATTCAAGTAAGGGTGAGTACACATACATGCATGTTGTAGTCAATGCATGAGGGCTGAAGAAGAGACTTGAAAGGGCAACCTAACATTCATTTGGCTTATCTGCTCTTAAAAAAACCCCTCATCTTCAGTTATTTAATTAAACATAATTAGTGTTCTATATCACTGAACACATTCTGTGATATAGAGGAAAATAGTGAATTACATGCTAAATTTTATGAGACCATTCCAAGATAGTCTTGGCTGCCCCCAGACCTAATAGACAGCTAAGAATAATTTCAAATTTCTGATCCTCCTGTCCCTACTTCCCAAGAGCTGAGATTATAGGTGTGGGCCCCTACATCTGGTACACATTCTAACTTTACAATCTAATCTCTAGGAAGTGGCATAGTGGAAGGTCATTAATCCTTTTCATAATTTCTACAGTTTTATTATAATGTGTATTATGTTTATGATCCTAAAAAGTATCAGGCAAAATCAAGTAATAAGTGTCCCAGTGAGAAATACAAACCCATTACATACTCATTTTATAGAACAAGAAACGTGCTTTCTCAGATCGTGTCCCACACTCACGACCTAGGCTTGAAGACAAGTGACTAGTTAGTGAGTCTCGAAGTTCATGGTTTTGTGCTGTTTGCTTATCTGTTTGTTGCTCTGCTTGGATCCAACCCAGGGGCTGTCATGGGCGAGGTGAGCATGGTACCCTTTAGCTGCATCTTCAGGCCTCAGATCTCATCCCTTACTTGGAAACAATTGATGGATTTCAATCCATCATCTCAAAAGATACATATTAAAATTATTATTTTAGATTCAAAAATTGCATGGTTTAGTTCTTGATCTAACATTCTGATTTTGTGGTGGTCTCACTTTACAAGTGAATGTTGTTCGGTTTCTGGAATGTTATCAACATATAAGATAGGATCCTTGTTCAGTTTTTTTTTTCTTAATTTTTAAAGAACTGATCCTAAAGTCCCAATCTTCCTGATGGTATTACAAAAGCTACTCTGAGCTTGCCCTGCTGGTGCACATCTTTAATCCCAGCACTGGGGAGGTAGAGGCAGGCAGATCTCCGTGAATTCAGGCAGCCTGTTCTACACACAGAGTTCTAAATACTGAAGCCAGTCAACAAGCCTATGTACAAGCCTATTGTACATAGAGAGTTCTAGGCCTGTGAGAACTACCCAGTGAGTTCTGTCACAAAAAGAAAAAAGAATGAATGAATGAAGGAAAGAAAGAAAGAAAGAAAGAAAGGAAAAAAGAGAAATACAAAAAGAATTAAAAAGATACAGTGTGAGTAAACAAAAGTCGTTCTGAAAACTGATATTGAAGTTGGTAAAGTTCTGCCTTTAACCCACAATGCTGCAAACAAAGCCTGAGCCCTGCTCTTTGTACAGGGGAGGTGGCTAAAGTCAATGATTTCATTGTCAGTAGCATTGAGGGGAGTTGGGGGTGGTGTTGAGACCCGGCCTCATAAACTCAGGTTGGTTTTGAATGCACTAGTTTCCTGACTTTACTTTTGAATTCCAGTTTGACAGGCACCCATCATCATGCACAGCTTCTGGGAAAGCAGTTTTAAAATGTTATGAGTTAGAGTTAATGTCAGTGATACACGCTTGCAGTCCCATTTCTTAGGATTCTGAGACAGGAGGATAGCAAGTATGAGCTAGCCTGGGCTACAAAAAATAAACCAACTGGTCAGGCATGGTGGTGCATGCCTTTAATCTGGGCAGTCAGAAGGTAGAGTTAGGTGGATCTCTATGAGTATCGTGCTAGCCTATTGTACATAGAGAGTTCTAGGCCTGTGAGAACTACCCAGTGAGCTCTGTCACAAAAAGAAAAAAGAATGAATGAATGAAGGAAAGAAAGAAAGAAAGAAAGAAAGGAAAAATGAGAAATACAAAAAGAATTAAAAAGATACAGTGTGAATATAATACAGTGCAGTAAGTTGCTTTATCCACACACATGACCATTACATAATCACACTGAAGAAGAAGAAGCTAACAGAAAATGGTTTAGAGTGAAAAAGTTAAGCTATGAAAACGCTACAAAGAAAAATGCAAAGAGGGGCTGGTGCTGGAGCACAGTGATAGAGCACTTACCTCTCATGCCCCAGGTTTAATCTGCAGTCAAAAAAGGAAAATGGGAAAGAAACGAAGAAGTAGAATCAATTGTAGGAAACTGTTGGGTGCTCATTCTCCAATTCCACCTTTTGATCACAGCTGCCGTGGATTCTTTCCCAAAAGTGCATGGAGTGGTGGGTCACCCTGTGACACTGCCATGTACTTACCCAGTGTCTAATGGACTCTCATCCATGTGTTGGGGCCGAGGGGCATGTGCTTCTGACACGTGTGGACAAACACTTATCCGAACTGATGGCCACAGAATCTACTATCGGACAAACAATCGCTACCAGCTAAAGGGGCAGCTTCTTCAAGGAGATGTGTCCTTGACGATAGAGAATGTCACTGAGAGTGACAGTGGTCTCTACTGCTGTCGGGTGGAAATGAAGGGGTGGAATGGTGTACAGAGACTGACCACCTCACTGCAAGTTCAACCAGGTAAGTGTGCCTTGTTGCCTTGCTTATGTCTTGCAAGTGAACACACACACAGTTACACACACACACACACACACATGCCTTATGAGGAGTTTCAAATGTGCAAGCTACTTGTTTTGTTTTTCAGGGGGTTTTATTCATTAGAAAAAGGAAGGGGGGAGAGAGAGAGAGAGAGAGAGAGAGAGAGAGAGAGAGAGAGAGAGAGAGAGAGAGAGAGAGAAGAAAGAGAGAGAGAGAGAGAGAGAGAGAGAGAGAGAGAGAGAGAGAGAGAGAGAGAGAGAGAGAGAAGTGGATACACGTAATTTTTAAATATTAAAAGTGGACTGAGCTCTACTTCCACTGGCTTTCAAATTATATTACATCCTCTAAAAAAAGTTTTCAAAGGCATTGATCCCAGTTCCTGGTCTTACTTTGTAGACAGCAGATTTAGGATGGAAGGAAGCTGCACATAGGGAAACCGCAACAGCTGACAAAAGCCAGCGTGTGCCCCTGCTGGAGTCCTCACTGACTGTTTCCTTCCAAGCACTGTCTTCCTTAATTCCAGTCTTGGCTTTCTGTGCACTCTCAGACCATCAGTAATCTGTTTGGATTCACACAGCACTTCTGATTATCTGATTTGAGAATTTACAGGTTGAATGCCTTGTCCCCAAATCCCAAATCTGCAGTGTTTGAAGATTGAAATCTCTTAGGCATTGCCTGGTAAATTCAATACCATTCATACACAGAATTATCAAGAGTTTATGATCTACTTGTAAGTTATGAGTGTAAAGTATATGCTTATATATATATACTTGAGCCCCCATCATAAACCATATGCACATATTATAAAATTTTCAGAAATATCCAAATTCTGAAACTCTGGGCACTGAGCATTTTTGGATAAGGGTTATTCCCCCTGTTTCTCTTAGATTAGAAGAAACCACAGATGACTGTTTCCACTCTCTACCCAAACGTGCAAATCCTTTAGTGTTGGGCCTTGCATGAGATCCCTCACAGGCCAACTGCCTACTTAGCCTTCAGTTATGATGCAGCACTGTGTGGTGTGTCCTCTCAGGACTGACTGTAATAAACATGCTGAACATGGGTGAAGTCAGTCACCACTGAGAGGAAGACAATCCATTCCAGTCCCCATACTCTCTCAGTGTCACAGAGATGCTTAGAGAGATTTGAGGATCTGACCCCTATTAATTAGAGCATGTGTCAGTAGGAACTTGGGCTCTGTTCTCTTCTCTATATTGTCTGTGCAGCTGCCTCCTATTGATGAGCCTATTTCCAGTACCCCGTCCTGCCCCATCCTAGTTGGTCAATGACAAAGAACAGAAGTGCAGGAGACGAGCCTCTCTGGGGACAGCCTCTCCCTGGTGTGCTAGAGAGTGGGTGGAGTGAAGGCTCTTCTTTCTTCTTGCTTGGCTGACACTTACTTTCACATTGATTTCTAAATTCAGGAGTTTCAACCAGTTCTTCAAGGAGACTTACAGGTAGATTCAAACCTATCAATAGACCCAGACCTACTCCAACGAGTCCCATAACACCTCTAAGGAAACCCAGAATTACTCCAAGGAGACCCAGAACTACTCCAAAGAGACCCAGAACTACTCCAAAGAAACCAAAAACAACCACAAACTCAGCACACCCCATAAAACCCACACCCACTTCAAGAAGACCCTCAACTACCACAAAATCTACAACTACTCCAAGGAGCCACTCAACAGCCACAAAATCCATAACTATTCCAAGAAGACTTTTAGTTACCATAAACCCCACAACTACTCTAAGGAGATCTCCAACAGCCACAAAATATTCCATGACTACTTCAAGGAGACCAGCAACTATCATGAAACCTATAACTACTTCAAGGAGACCCACAATAACCACAAGATCCACAGCTACTCCAAGAAGACACTCAACTATCACAAAACCAACAACTACTTCAAGGAGACCCCTAACTACCATAAAACCCACAACTACTCCAAGAACAGCCTCAACAACCACAAAATCCACACCTACTCCAAGGAAACCCGAAACTACCACAAAATTCATAACTACTTCAATGAGACCCTCAACTACCACAAAATACACAATTACTTCAACAAGACCCACAAATGCTCCAACATCAACCAGAATCTCTGCCTCTACTTCACCAACACCAGTGCACACACAGACTCCCAAACCAGGTAAAACTCATGTGTTTCAAGGTTCTGAGTTCTTTTAATGAGAGGTAGTAGGAAACACAGGCCACTGAGTCAAGTCAGAAGTATAATATAGGTGAATCATTCTCAACTGGGTCCTAAACAACAGCTTCACAGGGTCTGTGATTTTACAGTCTTAAATGCACTCTCAGCATGTAAGAGCTTGACCATGGAGGACATCCATCTCTCTGTATCAGATTCCCCAGGGATTCACTATTAGCCAGACTTAGGTGATGAGAATCTTGCTCAGTGGGGCATGATTTTCTGATTTAAGAAATGGGGAGCAGAGATGACTGAGGACTAGGGTCAGGGTAGGGAGACTCTTGACCCTTTACATCCATTTTGAAATTCGTCCATTCAGCTGAGGCCATAGTGCAGTGAAGCTAACATTTAGCATTTCCTGAGCATCAGGATGCATGCTACATGTTTGATGATGCAGCACTTAATTCTCAGACACTTGTGTCCTACATAGCTGTGACCTGTTCCTATTTTAGTGACAGGAACTGACAGAGTCAGAAATTTCATGGTGGATGTTACAGAGACAGAAAGTGGCTCAAACTCTGTCCCTGTTCGCTTGGGTCAGAAGCTGGTTCTTCTGAGTCCAGGGTCTGACCTCCTGCTCTGAGATTTATGTTTGGAAGGTTTGTCCTGTATTCAAATCCTCACTGGAGAAGACTCCGCAAATCTCCCTTTTTAGAGACAGTTGGTGCTTTCTAAAGTTTTGATTCAAGGATCTTTTAATTTATTTGTGAAGCAAGAAAATGCAAAAATATGTTTTTGTTTTGTTTTTTTAATGATATTTTACACATTGTCATGTGACTGGCTGGGGTAGTATTATTTGAATTTTATTTTGTTGAGATAGGATCTCAGCTTCTCTGGCATGAACTCATTATGTAGACCAAGCTTGCCCTGAAGTCACAGAGATCTTCCTGCCTCTGCCTTTAGTGATAAAAGGTGGTTGCCACCATGCCTGTCAGGGTTGAACTCAAATTTTATCTTGTTTCCTTACTAAGTCACTTACTCTTCCTATACCTGGAAGGTCCTCACTCATAAACAGCTTAGACGATAGATGTTGCCTAAACCTAGTCATTAACTTTGGCTCCTTGGAAATGAGCTCCCAATGATTAAATATAAACACAGTAATGTGAGAACAAGGAGGGCTATGAGTCATCCAACTTCGCTCATGCTGGGCAATGAAAGTTTTTGCAGTAATTGGGACTTCCATAGACCTAGAGCATTTCCACTCATTGTGTGGGTACTGTATGTGCATTGCCAGCAGAGATGTCTGTCATTTGCTAAAATTACAAGTGTATAATCACCTGATATGTGCTTTTTAATGAATAAAATTAAATTGAGGAGTTCAAGATTAGGATGTAAGGCATTTGTTTATTGCAATTATTCAGCAGAATGAGAATTCTGTATTTGACATACAGATTTTAGAAAGCATAAACGATATAATCTGTTCCAAAAACAGATGTCTCAGAAACACCTTGATATGTATCTAGAGTTCAGTGACTCTCCTACCACACAAAATCCTAATTCTTACAGCACATGAGACACATTGGTTTCTGGGTGATATTTTGATCCAAGTTGACATTCAGTGACATTAGGTGAGAGCACACTGTTATTGATGTCATGGTAGTTCCATTCATTCTGAGTAGAGTCATGAATGTGCACTTACCATTCTCAGCTCCTACGGAAGTGTAGACGAGGTGGCACCTTAAACTGTTCCACCATTGAGTTCTCTGCTTCATCTAAATTTGTAGATAAGCTTGGGTATGTACTTGTATTTTTGCAAAGAGAGAAAGAGAATTTTACATGAGTCCAGAACAGAAAGGTTAAGATGTGCAAGAAATTTAACAAAATACTAATGTTTAGTGTGATGCTATGCACTCTTAGAGATTTTGATCATGCTATTTAACTTTAAATCCACCATAGAAGTGGGAATGAATATGGGTAATGACTATAATGAAAGTACAACATTTTTCTAATGACAATTTTCATTCTTTTTGAGCAGTTTACACCGACACTGTGACATCTTCACACCGCCCTTGGTATAATCACACCGTAAGCATACCCCTCCCTGTGTTAATAGTGAGATTCACTTGTCTGTCTTCCTGGAATCATGTTGCATTTAAAGACTTTGTAAATCAATTTTGTCTCAAAAGAAGAAGAAGAATTAGAAGAAGAGAAAGAGAGTCAAGCATAGTTTGTTTATTCCTTTGTCATAGGATTCAGGAAGCTGACACAGGAGATACCAAGTTTCAGGACAGCCTCAACTACCCAGTCAGCTTGAGTTACACAGTGAGACCATGTCTCAATAATCCCACAAAGACAAAGACAGTATTAAATGTATGATAATAAATACATTGAAAAGAAGATTTTGACTCAAAAAAGGGTGCTAGGAAGAAAGTTTGTTAGAGATACCCAATAAATGATACTATACAAAGCAATGGAGGGAGGTAAGGTCACAGAGAGAAACAAACTGACTGAGCTTCTATGGTTAAAAGTTAAGTTAAAAAAGAATGAGTTAATAGAGGGGAGTAAATTAACATATATTTTTGTATTCTAGTGCAGTATCAGAAACCATCATGCCATGTTGAGAGTATTACTAATTGAGCAGACTTGTACTGTTTTTAACACAACCCTGCATGGTGAAGTTGCAGCTGAGCTCGGTTAACTGCAGTGCAGGGATCTTTACCAGCAAGAAGAAATACTTTAGGATTATATTCAAAACAAGAAATAGCAACATCTGGTCTCTGAAGCTGTCAATCTGGCTCTAGGTGCATTGAGAACAGTGCACAGAGACACATTTGTGTGCTTGGGTCTAGGTTTTTAGTTTGTTTGTTTTTGAGACAGGGACTCCTGGAGACCAGGCTGGCCTTGAATTCTCTATGAACTTGAGAAGGATCATGAACTCTGGGACCTCGGGTCTCTACTTCTCAAGTCCTGGGATTACAGGTGTGCACCCCCATGCCTAGGAACATCATCCTACATCTTGAACCTGTAGTTCAACTTCCAAAGGATAGCCATTGCTGCCATTCATAATTAGGAAAATGAAATGAAGTAAATGTTCACATGGGCATGATGGACCTGCCTGTGATCCAGGCACTCAGAATATGTAGGCAGGAGGATCATAAGTTCATCATATTGACTGCATAGTGAGTGCCAGGCCAGCCTAGGGTACATTGAGACCCGCTCTCAAAACCAACACACATTGCTTTATATCCCCACAGTGTTTGTCAAGAAGGACCTGAGAATTCCCTTTCCTGAGAACCCACTGAACCTATTGTTTGAAGATGCAGAGACAGTGTTCACAGAGCTTAACTAACTTGTCCATGGTCTCCCTGATTAGGCAGAGGAGCTGGGATTGTGACTCCAGAGACGAGGCTCATACAGGGACAAAGACCTGGTCTCTGGTCCTCCCTTTCCCTGCAGTTAAACCCATCCCATGGGCTCTGTTTAGGATTGGTAGATGAGTGCTAAGCTATTAGAGGGGCCTCACCTGCTGCCCAGCCTGTCTCCTGCTTATTCCAGTATGTGGTGATCCCTGGTCACCTGCACCAGGGAACTAGGGGAGATTATGCATTTCTGTCTGATCACAAGGTGTTAATCAGGCTGCATCCAGGAGCAGTCACTTCTGAGTATTTAAAAAAAAAGATGTAGATCTTGTGGGGCATGGTGGACCATGGCTTTAATTGGAGCTATACATAGGCAGAGTCTGGTCCATCTCTGTCAGTTAGCTGTGGCTACATAGTGAGAAGTGAGACCCTGTTTCAAAAAAAAAAAAAAAAGTAGAATCCAGAATTGCCTTTTACAAGACAATTAGGATCTGTGAGGACAGACCAGGCTCAGGAGCTAAGCACATGATGGGAACCTCAAAGCATTGACTTAGAGAGACGACACTGTTTTTCTCAATGGAGGAATAACCTACTGAATATTAATGCAGATATAATCCCTCACAAGATATGCAACCATGCTGTTACCTCAAACCACATAGAAAACATTTTCATCCTTCTAGACACTTGGAAGTTTGCATTGTCTAACATTGCACAGCTTAGTACCAGCTCAGGTTGTTTGAGTTTACTGGCATGTTCTACTCAATTTTATTTAAACACATGATCTCCCCACATGGCCCTGGCTGTCCCAGAACTACTATGTAGACCAGACTGCCTTGGAACTCTCAGATGGTCTTCTGCCTCTGCCTGTCAAATACTGGGAGTCCAGGTGCACACTCCCACTTACTTGCATATTCTAGAGCAGCCACAGAAAATGGAGGGAAAAGTCTAGGTTGAGGGCCAGGACAGGTTTTCTGCTCATCTCATTTGGTGTCTCTTCAATGATTGATGTTTCTTTAGGAAGTGGTCCCCACACCAAACCCCCTGAAGATCCACACCAAGGGCCTCTATATCGGCATCTCTGTGTCTGTTGTGCTGCTGCTTCTCACGAGCATCCTGATGATCATAAGTGAGTTACTCTATCGAGCTTTCAGTGTTAACAATGGGAGTGGGTCTTCCTGATTAATGATCACAAAATCCAAGAAAGGTTGACAGAGCAAAATCTTTTACCCCTGGAGCATGGTGCAAAGGCTCTTTAAATCCACCGAGCAAAGTGGGGGTCCTGCTGGGCCTTCAACTTTAAAGCAAAGAGGTCCTGTGCCTGTCTCCGAGTGCTCAGAGCTTGGTCCTCACTTTCTCTGACACTGGCCATATAAAGCAGTGCAGTGACTAGGGAGAATGGCATAGATTTTGATGGTAGGAAAATGCTTACTCCATAGCTCTTGCCAAATGGAGTCTTCCCACATTTCTTTCAAGATGACACTTCCTCTGTCTTATTTAGCCCTTTGCTAGAAGATAGTATGTTTCATGTATATTTCCCAGACCAAGGAGCTAGAACAAAGATTCTCAGCCACTCTGACTGCCTTCAAGTAACTCCACATGCCATGGGGTTCACATTTCACATGACTCCTCTGTGTTTCCCAAATCCAAGACACATATTGCAGTTCGTTCTTGTTCCCAGGGATGTATTAGGACCTACTGTGCACTGAGATCATTTCTAACACTTGGGGCATGCTCAGTGAGCACTCTTACAGTATCATCAAGATTCCTGTTTCGGGGTTTGGGGATTTAGCTTAGTGGTAGAGCGCTTGCCTAGCAAGCTCAAGGCCCTGGGTTTGATCCTCAGCTCAAAAAAAAAAAAAAAAGATTCCTGTTTCATATAACTTGTAAAGCTTAAACACTGGTGTTTCTTTTCTTAAGTATCATTGTTTGTTTGATTTGTTTCCTTTAGAATGTTTGATACAGTCTGTCTTATATATCCTAGGCTAGCATTAAACTTACAGTGTAACTGAGGCCAGTATTGAACTTCTTAGCCTTCTGTTTCTATAGTTCTATATTCTAATTTTTCATGTTTCAATTGTTGGCCATCTCAAGAGAAAAATTAAATTTACATTTACCATAAGGAAATTTAATTTGTGGCTGAAGAGATATTTCAGCCCTTAGGAGCTTGAGTGATCTTACAAAGAATGTGAGATCCATCCCAGCTCCTGGGTGGGTATCTCACAATGGGCTGTAACTACATCCCCATGGGATGCCTCTAGATTTAGCAGACACTTTCTCTCTAGAGTACATACTCACACAGACACACAAGGGTGCATGAATATGCATACAAATACACACACACAGAGAGAGGTAGAGACAGAGAGACACACAGAGAGAGAATAAATTTTTAAAGAAAGAGATATCAAATTTTATGGAACAAGAGTTTGTTGCACAGGGTTGAGTTTGGTAGGCAAGAGAGCATTATGAGACCTTTGGTGTGTTCTCTCCTAGCCTGCAGATCTGGTTTTGTCCCCATGATGATGATACTACTGAATGTTCTGGAACAAATTTAATAGAAGAGGCAAATAAGACATCAGAGGGAAAACTGAATGACTAACACTTGAACGGTGGCACTCAGGCCTGCATGGCCCTTTCCTGCAGGGTTTGTGGGAGTGTACAAGGTGTTTCTGTCTGTGTAGTCCATTCCCTGTATGAGAATGTCAGCCATTGATTTTTCAAGATGCCACACATGCGGTCGTTACTGACCTGTTTAACATGACTGGGTAGAAACTTGGGAAGAAGAAAACACGTGTCAATCATTTGGTTGGTTCATACAGAAGGATCACTGGTCATGGCTAGCTTAGGCTAGAATAATAAGATAATGCCTAAGAGAGGGGAATATAAGTTGCATAAAATACTACAAATATGTTCAGTTTCTTAGCCTGAAGTTGTTTATTCTCCCTGAGGGAAGGTGGCTACTGGGAGTCTAAAGGTCTTTGACAAGAAGTGGAGAGTGAGGAATAAGTGGTACACACTTCCTGAGCAATATTATGAAAGAAGCCAAGGCCAGTATAGTGCTTAGTGACATTTTTAAAAGGTTCTTGATGGAAGAAACCATTAGTAAGACCTTGTATCTCAGGTCACTTGAAGAGTCCATTTTTAGCGTATTCTCCAGCAGCCAATTTAAAACCCTAGATTCCATTTCTTTCAGTGAAAGAATTTACCAATGCCATTCTAGCACATTAGGAATGCTATCTAGGTGAAGGCATCAAATCAGAAATGCTTAGAAGAAACTTCCTGTGGGATATAGGAATGAATGAGCCTTCCATGGTTACTGGGGAATTGTTTAATTAAAAACAATACTCTTGATTAGAAGAAAATACCATGAATGTTTTTGATGACATGTTCAATTTCCCTTTCCACTCCTCCTAACTCCCCCAACTCCATTTCAGAGTGCAGACACATGAGAAAGAAGAGGAAGCCAGAAGTGTAAGTTGTCTTGGCTTATGTCCACTGCTTTGGAACTTGTAGTCTGTAGATTTCTCCTTGTTCCTTTCTTTCTTTTCCTTTTCTCCTCCTCTTTCTCCCATTCCTTCCCCTTTTTATTTTTTATTAATTTTTTTCATATACTTTAGTTTGGTCATGTTCCTTTTCACCAACCAACTCCTCTCAGATCGTGGCACTTCCCAACTCTCTTTATGTTATGTTCTCTCTCTTTCTTTCAAAGAAATAAAGAAAGAAAACAGATAAAACCCACAACAATACAAAAATGAATATCAAAACAAAATAGTTGATGACCATTTTCTGTCAGTTTTCACATTGGCTCATATGACCTTTCTGATTCTAAGTCGTTTCTGTACTTGTTCATGTGCTACTGACCCACCTAAAGAAAAGCTTTGTTCCATCTTCTTTGTAATTCTCTTCTCAGGTGTTCCTCACATGGCTGACTGGATCTGCGTTTCAGTAGTAGAGATGACCATTGGCTCTACATTTCAGTTGTAGAGATGTAGCTAATTGGCTCTACATTTCAGTAGTAGAGGTGTCCATTGGCTCTACATTTCAGTAGTAGAGATGGCCATTGACTGTACATTTCAGTAGTAGAGATGGCCATTGGCTCTACATTTCAGTGGTAGAGATGGCCATTGACTCTACATTTCAGTAGCAGAGATGGCCATTGACTGTACATTTCAGTAGTAGAGACGGCCATTGACTCTACATTTCAGTAGTAGAGATGGCCATTGGCTCTACATTTCAGTAGCAGAGATGGCCATTGGCTCTACATTTCAGTAGTAGAGATGGCCATTGACTCTACATTTCAGTAGCAGAGATAGCCTTTACATAAAAGACAAAACTCCACTCTGTCAAAACACTGCCCATGAGTTAGTCAGTTTTCTTCTCTGATTTGCTGCTTCATGAGCTGTAGGAAGCTCACACAGCAGTCCACTGTGACTACTAGAGTAAAAGCCCCTCCCCCAGCTGACGGGAAAGGACGGTCCACAGACACCAACAGCTCTCTCCCCAAATTAGTTCCTTTCCCTACCGTGCCTGATGTTTTTGTGCAAGTGATGTATATGAGTGTGTGTTGTACTGTAGACTTTGCAGCTGTTTCCCGGACCACCAGCCCCTGTGGAAAGGCCCTGCTTTGATGCTTTACATATTTCCCCATCTGTGTTAGTGTTAGAGTGTGCAGATGCTATGCAGATTTTAAAACCATTTCTTTTTTTAAACAAGAATTTATTTATTATTTGGTGGGAGGTGTTGTTGTTGCTGTTGTTGGTGTGGTGTAAGGTATCTGTCTTTTTAGACATTCTATTTTTGTGTTCTATTACATGAATATCCAGATTGATGTCAATGTGAACTGTTTTTGTTTTGATGTTTCTTAGTTTGTCTGACGTTTATTAAGCAAATGTTTCTATGACTTTACTATCAGGTCCCTGTGTGGTGCTATTCATTCCCTATTACAGTTTTTGTGGATGGGGCTCCTGCAGTCCTGAATACCCCGTCTTGCTGAATCATGAATGAATACTCTCCTCGGACCCAAAAAGTGACCTTCTTACTCTTTTTCAGCAGCTCTCGCTGTGGTTCAATTGTCTTCCATGATTATAAGAAGAAAGCTTTTGAAAGCACAGTGCAACCCCAAGCTGAAGATATAGACTATGTTATTGAAGACAATCTTCATCCCAGGACTGACTCCCAGTTGCCCTCTAAGATGACATCATTCCAAGACTGTACATGAAAGTAATGGAGTACTGCCATGCTGGACACCCTTTAAGCTGCAGGGTCATTTTCTATGTCAGTTCTTCTGGTTTTCCCAATTGCCAGCAATAGTGAAAGAGGGTGGCCCTCTAGCTGTTCATATGCACAGTCATTGTAAATAAGGTACTCAGTCTTCCCCCACACTGGAGAGTGTTTGCTCAAACATGAACACTTTAGAATTTCTTGTGTTCTTTAGACCCCGTAAGTCTTATGTCATGAGAGACAATTATTGGTAATGCAGGAAATAACTAACCTTAGTTACTAAAAGCATCAAGAACAGAGGAATAGGATTTAAAAATAGAAAAAGAAAAAAAAACTAAAAGTGTGTGTATGTGGGTGGCAAGACTTAATTTAGAAGTACTTCATGGTTATGTTTTTTTTGTTGTTGTTGTTGTTTTGTTTTTTTTTTGTAACTCAAAATGTTCTTTTCCTCACCTTCCCCAAAAGGACTTAGGTCATGGGAACTGCAGGTTTTAATTTCTCTGGTAGATAAACAGAAAGGAGCCTAGAAGTGTGCATGCTTTTGAATGGCTCATGAAATATGAAACATGATTCAGTGATATATAGTGATCTTAGGATAAGGATGGGTGTTGCATGTCAGGAGAGGTTGCCATGGTGAGAATGGACCAGGCAGACATCAGGGAAGAAAATAATGGACCAAGGACTGAGTTCATTAGTGCTGTTTCCACTGAAGTCTGACTTGGTGCTCAGTGTCCTGTCCTCACCCACTGGACTCTGAATTAGGTGCTGGAAGGAAACAATGCAGAAATGAAGGGGAAAGAGGGGAGCAGGACTCAGGCTCTCTGCCTGAGAGAAGTTCTATTCTAAGGCTTCCAATGTTTGAGACTATCACTGGTTTCATTCAGAGTTCCAAATTTATAATTTTCTCCAGGCCATTTTTATATTTAATTTATTTATAAAGAAAAAGCTCTTTCATAGTGAATCACTTGGTCAAAATCAATTAAATGTTTGGTTTTGTTAAGAGTTAACAAAAGTTATGGTATTGGTAGCTTCATTGCCAGTTGCATTGTTGACAAGAGCCAATTTGCAAGAGGATATTAATTTCTATATCAGTTTTCTGCCTCCTGAGTGCTGGCTCCCCCTAGTTGTCTTCTTATCTCTACATACCCTCCATGGCAACTGTATACACACACACACACACACACACACACACACACACACCTGCACGCATACACACATCTACCCACACACACAAAACCATAATGCACATGTACACTAAATAAAGTGTAACACATTTTAAAAATTTAAATAATGATATAAGATAAGATAGAAAGGGCCAAATTTAATACTGATTCATTGATTTATTTAATTTACCTAAAGTACAGTTTGTACTAACTATTTGTCAAGAATGATTTCATTTGTTACCTGCAACACAATGATCTGGAGAAACAGCTGAAGCAATGGGTCGTTGACCTCGACAACCTGACTGTCACATATACTTGTGTAAACTCTTGCTTATTTGCCTGCCCAATTTGTACTATTTTATAATTATTCTTTAAATATCTGGTTGTTTTCTAATGAGAGAGAAAGAAATAGTATGGATTTGGATAGCAGGAGAAATGGGGAGGATCTGGGAGGAGTTGGGGGAGGGGAACAGTACTCAGAATCGATTGTATGGAAAAGACTATTTTCAATAAAACAAAAGTGGAAAAAACGAGAACACCAACTGGAGCCGGCATGGGAGCCTTATGGGAGCCATCCTGACTTTGGGTCTTTAGTGCCATCTCCTGTCTTCCACCTTCATTGAGCTCAAGTGATTACTCCAGGAAGATTCCCACAACAATAAGACATGGATATTTGACTAGTGTTTTAAATCAAATGACCACATTTTATGTGGTATATCATGTGGATATTCAAAACTATTTTTTTTTTTTTTTGGTTTTTCGAGACAGGGTTTCTCTGTGTAGCTTTGCGCCTTTCCTGGATCTCGTGCTGTAGACCAGGCTGGCCTCGAACTCACAGAGATCCGCCTGCCTCTGCCTCCCGAGTGCTGGGATTAAAGGCGTGCGCCACCACCGCCCGGCCTTCAAAACTATTTTTAAGGTAGTGGGCATTTTTCTGAAACAGGAAACCCAAAGGTTTGTGTGATCACCCTTGGAAGGATGAAAAATCAGAGACCCAGAGAAGGTAAAAGACTAATGAGGAATTGCTGTGGAGCAATCTTTGTACACTGTAAATATGTATTACTCTCATTGGTTAATAAAGAGATGACTGGTCTACAGCTGGGCAGGAAGAGATTGTGCAGGAAAGCCAGAATAGGAGGATGCTGAGAAGAAGAAGTGGGTGGGGGGTCTGAGGAGATGCCATGAGACGCAGAGTGAACAGGGTGGGAAGTATGTACATGAGGTAAACCAGCCTTGGGTGGCACATAGATTAATAGTAATGGGTTAAATTAAGTTATAAGAGCTAGCTAAAAACAAGCCTAAGCTATTGGCTGAGAATTTAAAATTAATATTAAGTCTCCATGTGGTTATTTGGGGAGCAGCTGGTGGGATAGAAAAGTCTGCCTACAAGGATTCCTAACACATAGTATCTTTTCCTCATCCCACTATTATCAAAACGGCTTGGTTGGACAGGCAATGTGGTATACATCTTTAATCCCAGTCTGTTGCATGCAAGGTCAGCAATCTACACCTTCGATACATTGCTAGCCCATGTACTATAATCTTAAAACAAGAGAACATGCACACATACACACCCACCACAAACTTGTTCAACCCAGGGGTTCCCAGTGCTGGCTGCACCTGGGGAGGAACTGTGTAAAACAAGAATTCAGACTGTAACTGAGAAGATGATGATGCTCCTGTTTGGAGGGTGGAGCCTGAGCACTTGTCCTTATGACACTTTCCATGTGACCTAAGGATCAGGCAGGTTCTTGAACCTCTGGTCTAGGCTTTTCCTCCCCTTCTCTAGACTGCATCCTTGAGTATGAAAACGCATGGAAGGTACATCACTGACCTTCACAGTTGAGGCCTCTTCATCCCAGTTCTTTTCATTCCACCCCAGGACTGCAGCTAGGGAAGTCAGAGGTAATAATAATCCATAGGTTTATTATGATATCATGACCCATGAGTGATTCTTACAGACAAAGAGGACATGAAAAGGTCTATATACCTGGTGTGATGACTAATTCCAGGTCTAATTTTTGATTATTCCATAGACCAGGGAATTCTACCCTGCAGCAGTAGATCCCATGGTCATCTAGAGTCACATTCTCTATGGTCAGGGACACATCTCCTTTGAGGAAATTCCCCTTTAGCTGGTATCTGCTGGGTTTCTGATATGTCACATTTCTTTCATCAGTGCTGAGCACTCAATTGACAACTCAATCCAACTGTGTTGGATTATTATTACCTCTGACTTCCCTAGCTGCAGTCCTGGGGTGGAATGAAAAGAACTGGGATGAAGAGGCCTCACCTGTGAAGGTCAGTGATGTACCTTCCATGTGTTTTCATACTCAAGGATGCAGTCTAGAGAAGGGGAGGAAAAGCCTAGACCAGAGGTTCAAGAACCTGCCTGATCCTTAGGTCACATGGAAAGTGTCATAAGGACAAGTGCTCAGGCTCCACCCTCCAAGAGACAGGGTCCCTCTGTCCCAGCACACAGGTACAGGTGTCCCAGAGGTAGGTACAGTGTAGCTACAGGGCAGATATGCATTCTTACCAATGTCTATTACAAACGAATCTTCCAAAGACCCTACACAGAGAGGAAAGGAGAGCAAGATGGTGAGGGAGAGGGTCCATTTCTGTTGGTAATGCCTCACAGAATAAAAGAGGAAACTATGGCTGCCCTGTTGGAAAGAGGATTGACTGTGCCAATGATTCTCTGACCTTAGAGGCAGCAGAAGCAGCAGAAGAGACTCCTGGTCAAACACTTAACTATGATTGCACATGCCTCTAATCCTGGAGCTTGGCAGATGGAGACAGAAAGATCCCAAATTAGAGACCAGACTGAACTATGGAACAAGTTCTAGGCTAGCCTGAGTGATGAAATCATCTCTCCAAAAAGAAACTGACAGGTCAGAAAGTGATGACTTATACCTTTAATCCCTGTACAGAGGAATCTGTGGCAGAACTTCAGTGAGTTTGAGGCTAGCCTGGGCAACCTGTGCTCATTCCCTAAAATGTCTGCCTCCTTTGGTCTGAGGTGGAACATGGGAACTTGCATTTGTGTTGTGTGTCCTTGACTCCCCACCCCCCACTTTTAGAATCATGGTCCTCCAAGAGAATTCCTAACAGCTCTTTAAAGTTAAAAGGCAGTGCTAATGGAATCAACACTCAGGGAAAAAATGGGCATTGTTCCCCAGGAAAATGGCCCATCTGTCTGGGATCTGAACTAGTTGTCTGTTCATTAGCCAAGGAAAGGGTGACCAAATCACCCCAATACAGTGAACAAAACTCTTGACAAATAAAAAGCTTGTACATTTCAAACTACTGGGGTTGTTTTAATGTTTAGCATTAATTCATTTCAATAAATCTATATGTACACATCTATGTAGGAGAGCAGTCAAGCTGTATCGAACATGTGTGAAATCATGACTCCCTTTCCAAATTCTTCCCATTCCATCCTGCTCACTTTGAGTCCAAACATTAAAATGTTTCCACACATTGCTGTTTCATGACATTGTGTGTGTTGTGCCCAGGTTGTAAGACCCTCAAACAAGACCACCACAGAGCCAATATCCGATGCAAGTACACAGAGGTTCTTAATAATGAAACAAGAAAGCTTGGTCCGTGTCCAACATCCAACACAGTGGGTGGCCCCAAGCACTCACTTTAAGGGGTTTATATAGGAAAGGTTTATATGCAGCTTGGGATTGGATGAGGGGGCTAGGTGTAAGGTAGTTCTATGAAGCTACTGGCTGAACTATAAGCATGAGGTTACTGATGGCTAACAGGATTCAGGGTATCTACAGAGACATAAATTTTTACTCCCTATGTCCTGCTTTTGTTGAACCCA